CTGCTTAATTCTAAGTGTTTCTACGACTATATTAATGGTTGGGTGATTAATATAAAATAATAATAAAAATAAATTGTGTCAAATCATTACCACTCATTGGTAAAGTAGCTGTGTAATAACATGGATTATGTACAGAGAGCTGGTCATTATTGCACGTAAGCCAGCCGACGGGGTGCACGGAGGCCACAGCAGGATTATCCCTGCAGTGTAAACATGCCTACAACTGTAGAGGCCTGTGCAGCTGACAGTGTACATTAGCTCGTAATAGCAAATCATATTCCTTACATGCCAGCTGTGCCAGTTGTGTGATCCATCATGTTTGAAAGTATCGCTTCATAGTCTCACGAACACCATTTGTCGCACATCGGGGATCAACTTCATGCTCAGTACAAAATGCTGATCATGCAACTAAGAACTTAGTAAAGTGAACAGAATGAGTTTTGTTGCTTCTTTAAAATTATTTTAGATTACTGATAAACCATTAAATACAGCACACAGCATATTTTCAGCAGGAGGAGGAGCCTGGATTTATATGGTGATTAAATATAGGACTGGATTTCACTTTTACTGGCAAGCAACTAACTTCCTTACACATGAAATTCCTCTCAGTTACCTGGTAGCAACTGATAACCCCCTCCTTGTATCTTCTGCTGAACATGTACTAATATTGCATGGTTTATATAGTTTATGTTTAGACAAAGATAAAAATCAAGTGAACCTGGTAAATTGCAGGTGGTGGTTGTCTGCTAGGACCTCTTCTGTTTTGCATTTTTTAAAATGCAATTATTAGACTAATATGGTTTCTTGCATAGGTACAGAACACCCTTGCAGATTTATTGTTTGTGAATAAAATTCTAGTATTTTAATTTTACTAAGCACTAATTAACAGATACGGGTTTAAAAACAAAACAAAAACAAACAAACAAACAAAAAAGCAACCCTTAATGTTAAGCCCTTAAAATGTAGGACCCAAAGGACATTGGATGATGTCATGGTACATCATGGTAGTTCCGGCCATCTTTTGTGTACATTGGTAAGATGCATGACTTTACAGCAGCCAGCCTCCCCCCTGGTGCAAACAGTTTAGTCTCAGGAGGTAATTTCCTCCTTTGGCACTGCTGTAAAGTGAGTGAATTTATTACCTGCTGGGATCTACCTCACTTAATCTGACTCTCTGAACCAAACCTATCAAGCGTGTTTGTGGTGTTGGAGTCTTTTGGAGCATTTTAATGCAATTATCTGGGAAATAATATGACTCGTTGCATGATTAGTTGTGGTAATAGCCAATCACAGAAGTTTGTGCTGCAGTTTAATCTCTCATGCATCTGTGCAACCTGCATTCTCATGTCACTTAACATAAAATGACAACCGCCAAAATCCTAAAAAACAAAAGCATCCTACACTGGTTTACACAACCCTCCAAAACGGTAAACCTTTCCATAAACATAACCTGAGTCAAATCAAATTCTTCTGATGCTTTTCCATTATCTGAAAATAAGCATGCACCTTTAATGCCCAAGTATTTCACACAGTGGGGCATGAGTTAAACAGCGCCATTGTGTGCTCCAGGGAGGCCCTTTCATCATTTCAAAAGGCTATATTCAAGATGAAAAGCATTTGTGCTGCTATGTTTTTAGGCGACAAAGACATCACCATGCAGAGAGGCTAGAAACAGAAGCATCACTGCATTTCTCAAAACTTTGCCCATCAACTGAAGCTCTCTGCAAGCTGCCTCCAGTGCCTCCATTTACATTTACAAGTCATTTACATAAGCACTTGCACTAATAGCAACAATAATGTAGCACAGTATGTGCACTTTGTTCCCCTTTTTCAAAACAGAAGAGAATCCATAAAGAATTTAGTAAAAGTGACATCCTCGGTGTAAGGACTCCTGTCACGCAGTCTACCTTCAGGATGCATATAAAGTTGAGGTTCAGCAATACGGCACTATCTCCATTTAAGGTTCCCTTTATTTGGTTATGTGTTTGCTATAACCAGTTATAAGTTATAACCTTAAGATCAGAAGTAATTAAGTGGAACAAATACTTGTTCCACTTAATACAGTGCAGTCAGACCATTAACCCTCCATAGACCTAAGGTGACGAAGGAGGCTCTTTTCATGAGTTCTATTTACTTTGGCTCTATTTGTGTTTATTCTACTACACAGTTTCTTTTATCTATTACAAATATTGGTCTGGTAACAGATGAACAACAAATGTTCTAATGCAATTAAACACCAGACCAGATATAACCAGGCTTCTCTCTGTCAGCTGATCCATTTACTTCTGCAGATTCTGCATCTTGCAACTCAAGTTCTGTCATTCGTGGTTCAATGCAAAAAAAGAAACAAAAAAGCAACTTTCCATTAACCTTACCGACATTAAAAAACAAACATTGTTTTGATTCAAAAGCATCACAATGTTTCAGACAAAAATAACTATTCAATGTGTTAAAATTGCATCCACCAATTCGTTTTCATGGACATTAAATAAGATAAAAATGCCCTTATTCTCCCACTGAAGTCTTAAGCACACCTGACAACTTCTCCATTTACCTCAAATCAGACACAACGATGATTATTTTAAATTAGCGTGAGATAAATATTAGATTAAGTCATCAGGGGATTGTTTTTCACGATGGGAGTTCCACAATAGAAGACGCTTGTCCAAATAAATACAAACGACTGAATTTGAAACATGACATTTTTTACTAAAGTGGGTTCCTGGCACTCAGTTTGTATTTTTTTTTTTTTTAATGTCTGACAATACCACTTGGCTATATTTATTTATTTATTTAGTTACAATGGCTGCGCGTCTCGTTTCATTCTCACCTTTGAAACCATCACTTGGTCAGTGGTTTGGACAGGCAGACGCTGCTTCACTGGATCCTCTCCCTTGCCCTCTTTTCCCCCCCCTGTTGTGTGCGGACTATAAAAATAAGCAACAATAAGCACTGAAAACAATTTCATGCAACCATTCAAACATCTATTTGTTCCACAATCACAGTATAATAGCGCACGTCACTCCCATTCAAACCTGAATTTGTGTGCCCAGGCTGGCAAACAATGCCACTCCACACCAGGCTTTTCAGCTTTGACGGAGATGAGCCCCGGTGGAATCGGATGGTAAGTGAACAGACGTGTAACCATTTCAAAGTGCTTGTGCCGTTTCATTTTTTGGGTCCCTAAAGGCAGCTCTTTGTGAACAATCTGAGAATGTCGGGCAAACACACTCAGTAAAAGCAAAGAGCAGAAGAGGAAAGAGATAAGAGGTCAAATTGGAAACTTTTATTTATTTTTACAAATACTTTTGTTTTGTTTGTTTTTTTTACCCACAACATGTAAATGCATCAGAACAAAGCCCCGTGTCACACAGTCACACACTTCAAATACATTTGTAGAGGGAATTGAGTTAAAGAAAACACCCACAGTCTGAAGATGAGATCTGAAATGTTGCAGGAACCACCACAGCGGTGGTCTTAATATAAATGAGAAGCTGTTTGTAAGCGCTGAAAATGTTTCAGTGGGAATATTTTCCACCGTGGTGGGTATTTCAGACAACCTTGTGTCTACCCACCACTGCTCCTCAATCACGACGGGGCCTGACCAGACAGATCAATGAGAGAAGGGCACTGGTGATTCAACAACTGCTGCTGTGGCATACACGCCCTAATTGGATGGTACACGAGTGTTTTACTGAATACTGGGCCTGTTTTTCAACATGCACAATCAATGGCTTGTTCTCCGCTGACTCCTCTGCTCACACGGCTCTAATCAGATAGTAAACTCTGCGCTTGAAGCTTCTGGATGATTGCATATTTCCTGTGTCACACTGCTTTAATTAAGCATCAAATACAATTACGCTCCATTCATCACTCTACAAATGCAATGATATCATATTTTACTGTTAGATACCAAAGGTGGGAACATTCAAGAGGGCTTTTAGATCACTTGCTAACACTCTTTAAATCTCACACATTTAACACCTGGCATTAACAGATTACACGGTTCAAAAATGATAGGAGTCAGCTCAAAGTATAGAATCACAATGAGCTTTTTCACATTCGGGTTATAATGCAAATTGAAAGTGTGACAGCTGTGACAGATTTAATGCTCCCTCCAACGGATAAAAGATGTGAATCTGTCACAGCGCAGCTAAAACCAGTCTAGACAATGCTGAGGAGAAGGAGAGAACAGAAAGGTACATTTTCCTGTGGCCTGTAGTGATATTTTTGCCATTTTTGCACGTGTCTCTTTTGGAAATGTCCACGTTCTCTTAAACACAACGGAATTAATACTAAAAGCATCTGCAGCACCATTTTCCAGAAAGCATATCCTTTTAGGTCAAAAACATTCACAAATCTTGTTGCGAGTCGTTTCATGAAGGATTTTGTTTTTCTCCTACTGAACATTTTCTCCTGAAGAGCCACGCTGTCAAACAAAAACAAAAAGCAGGTACTCGTCCGCACATTGGTGCTGGATCATATTAAGCTACTCGAATTTGTTTGCATGGCAGATTTTTTTTAATATTAGGTTATTTCGCAGCAAAAGCAACCTGCTTTAGAAAACAAGTCATTTTGTTTTGGAGGTTATTATTAAGTGCATTTAAATAAACAATCCACTTTAAAAAAAAATGAGCCAACTTTTAAATTAGCCTAAATTTTACCAAGTGTCAGATGTGCTTCGCTGCACAGGTCAATGAGGAAGCATACCACATTATGTATAATTATGGACTCGAGGCACACCGTTCGTGACAGTATTTTTCTGCATCAATAAAGAAGAAAATACGGACACTCGGTAATAATTATGAGCAAACACCTGGTCAGTTTCATGAATATTATTCACTCTTATTCTCTTCCATTAGTTGAGCAGCATCCGAGACCATTTTTAATTATGCGTTTCCAACTCAAACCTCAGTGTCTTTGCAGTACAGATCTACATCCCCGAACAAAGAAAAGGTTGGGATAATATTTAGTATGCATGTATCACTGCGCGGTCTTACATCTTACAAATAATCATCAATAATTTTAAGCACTCGCAGTATATCGATGTGGAGGAATAGATATACAGACAGACGTTACCCTCGCCGTCATCTCATGCTGTACTTTATGTTTTCTCTACATTTGCCAGTCATTGAAAGCATGCAGATAGCCAACATTACAGGCTTAACTGATGAGGGCACCATTAATGTTTACATCCTGTCACAGATAAGAGCCTTTAGTAACAGGTGAATGAATGACTCTTACTATACAGTTTCTGGAATGATTTCTGGAAAGAGCATTTTTCAGATGTACATTATTTGACATTTTAAGCATCACAGGGCAAGTGCCATCTACTTCCATCCTATTTAAGAGACACTTTTACAGCCATTATCTGTGAAACTGGCCAACAAGCATTAAAGACACGTCGAAGATGAATAAATAGCACTACAGTCCAGAGCAACCATACATAAAACTTCATTGTGAAAGGTCTCTTTAAAATCTGCTTTTCACTCATCTCGTGTGTTCCCATCTGCAGTTAATGCACTTTTTAAAAGAACAGCTTCTGATTCCATGTCATATTCTATCCAAATACCATCACTTCTTTAAAAGGGTTATCAGTATGATGCCAACCATAATGGAATCACAGTCAGATGGGTATAGATTTTTGCTGTGCCATAGCACAATACAACCATCATTTGTCTGCGTCAAATTAACAGACAGTTTGAGGGGGACACTGATGCACACAGGAGGAAACACTTCCTGTTGATGCAGCTGTATTTTAACAGAGGTTGATGGAGGTCTGAGCTTAATTAAATCTCTTTTTTAATTCTCATTGATTCATAAAGCGAATATTCAGTTTAGATTCGGTATCCGCCAATTATCTGTAAGCCATATAGCGACCGTGGTAAAAATCAATCATTCTCTCTTGTTTCAAAGTGCTCTTAATTAACATGCGCACATACACACACAAACGCATGCACTCTTTTGGTTAGATAGTGGACTCTTAAATTATCTGATAAAAATCTCATTTGATGTGATCAAAATTAGCTTTGGGTATAGAAAACCTTTTTACTCGCGGACATGCAGAACATCCACTTTATCCTATTCTAATCTATCATAGTAATGTTTGTCAGTGCAATTACATTTAAAGTAGTGCAGTGTTTAATGTCTTATTAAGACCCCCTCACCCCCCTACCCATTTTGCAAAACAAATTCTATTTAGAATTTAGTGTTAACTTTTTAAAGTGCTTTCAAGGCCCCTTTAATTCCTAAAAAATAAGTACTTACTAACTGGTTTTATTCCTGTTACAACAGCACATGACTGAAAACATTATTGAGCACAATGCAATGAGGGAGAAGTTTACACCCAAATTTTTTTGCTTTGAGCGGATCATAAACAGAAAGCGTCCTACAGACCTCAGCTGGTTTCATTCACCAAGCGTGAACCATTGATGCCACGATAAGTGACACGGCTGGGGCGGACCAGCACACCGTGGCCGGGTCGACAGCTGAAGTAGCGACGGCCGCCCACTGAGCCGTCATTCTTGCCCTTGGGGCTTCGGAGCTCCAGACCCAGCCAAAGGCCTGGGGCAAAGTCTGCTGTGCCCAGGTAACGGATGATTGCCATCTCATTGGCGCTGCTCAGCAGGACCTGCATGCCCACGTGGAGGTGGACCTGCCCATCAGAGCTTGGAGAGGGACTTGAGCCTGCGGTGCTTCCAGGAATACTTCCACTGCCCCCACTGAGGGTGCTCCAACGCCGGCGGTGAGGATTGGAACGACTCCTATTTTATTTTATTTTTGTTTTGTTTGTGGAAACAGCAAAAAAAATACAGTAAGAAAGATTTATGAGAAAAGTCAGGCAGTGTGACAGAATAAATCATAAGCAAACAGGAGATTCATGGGAGCTTTGTGTTTGAGGGATTGATTCTCAGTTTCCTGCTCTTGCTCATTATAACCACAATCATGCACTGGCCATTTAAAAGAACCTTTTGCTGACTAATACCACTGCTTCTTATCAGTATTGATTCAGTCATTGCTGCAGGGGATTCGGATAAAGCTGGAAAGCTTGGGGAGGAAATAATACGAGGAATATGCAGGAAAGGCAGACACACCTGGTAACGGGGCTTCTTCTGTTCGTCTCCTTCGGAGTGGCGATGGCCGATGATGTGCTGAAACTGCGACGAATTGTCCCTGCACGGCAAAAACAGGAGTCAATTGCTTCAACACAAACACACAGAATAATAAATGCAAAGTCACATTTAGTGTAGTTCAAAGGTTGTAATGAAGGCAGAATTCTTACCACTTAGAGGATGACTGAGGCGCGAGGAAGTGAGCTCTGAAAGGCAATCAACAGATCCATGGATTCTGCAAAAAGAAGCAGGCAACTGATTTTTCCCAGAATGAGACAACCTTTGGAGTTTATAAAAACAATTTTCATTAAATGGGCCCCAATTTGCTTGTTTCCAGCTCCTTAATTTTATTCTTGGACCCTACACTAGGGTGGCATTGCGTGATTCACACTTTAAAAACATTCCTTATTTATCTTGCAGTGATGCTTGATGTAGCCCCCTTCCCCCAGAGCTCATTCACCGTCTAAAACATGCTGTTTTAGCCCTTCTCCCTTTGAGGGCACTATCCTTTTAAAGCCCACTTTGTCCCTCATAAACAGAAAAACAGCAGGCTGGTGGAGCCAGTGACAGAAAACTAAATGATGTGATCATTCAGGAACACTAAAACATACAAAGAGCCAATCTAGATCCGGAAACAGAAACAAATTAGCAACCATGTTGTTGCACTGACACAGATGGTAGAGTTTGAGCTGTGTGGTGGTAAGCATTTATACGCTACGTGGACAAAAGTACTGAGTACTGATACATTACAGCTACATGGAAAGCCATGGCATGAAGCTCCCAGCTCCCAGCTCTGGTGCTGATGTTAATGCCAGAGGATGTTTGGAGCTCTGCAGCTAATATGCGCCTCCACACTCTGCAACCCAACTGTAATGTTGTGTTTTCCAACACTTGAGGGCTCAGTTGTTGTGGTTCCTTAACTTCCATTTTGCAGTGTTACTATTTTTTTGGAACACCTAGTAGGGAAGAAATTTCACAAACTGAATTTTTGCTAAAAAATTCAGCGATCTCTTTAGGGCGACCTTTTCTTTCCTAGCTGTATGGCTAGGTGCTTCATTTTAAACACCTGCCCGTATGTTGTACTCTACTGCTGCTCCGTGTAAATCTATAGTCAAGTGTAAAACTCACTTGGCTGACACTGTTTGTGTGTAGAAGAAGTATAACTTACAGATGGGGAAATGGCTTTTTAACCTTTTTTGGGGAGAAAGTCACCAAACTTCTGAAGTGTTTTTAAATCAGGTTTGATTTCCATAAATGTGTTTTCTATATCCCTGTGGCCAAAGAAAAATGATGAGGCTTCCTCCACATTCATTTAGATACTGATTTCAATATAACTACACAGAGAAAAGTGGTAAAAATTGCTTCTTGAAGGACTTTGGTGGGGCTTTTTGTGTCTGACATTAGTATAAAAGGATATTCGCTCTCGTTGCCATCAGACAGATCAAGACACTTGGCTAATTGGGGTTTACTTGTACATGCTGACCTCATTATTTGAAACTTGGCAATGTTTATTGTGGGCATACACGACTGTAACAGTGTATAAATTACATCAAATTCGAAAAAAAAATATCAGGATCTAACTGGTTATATTCAGATGTAAGCACACATTCAGTTTAGTGGGTGTGCTTTTGATGGCCACCTCTGTGAAAACGAGTTGAATGGGGAAAGAAAATAAAAATAAAAACAGGCTTTGGCTGCCTGACACGATAAACTACCTTGCTTATTAAGATTGTCTTAAGCAACTATATAATAACAGCCATAATAACATTTATAAAGGCATTCAAATATTGGAAGCTATTAAACATCAGTGTGCCAAACAGCACATGAGCAAAACAGGAAAATGGGAAAGTGTGTGAGGAGGGATGGGGGGTGTCTTCCTAATGGATTGTGATAGCTGCTGACAGGAAAAAGAAAGGAGGAGGAGAAGCAACTTCCTGGATGGAGACAAAGTGATATTCTTGATTTGACAGCAGGAAAGCATGTGCTTAGCTGAGCACACTTTGTACCCTGGAGTTAATTAGGGAGGAAAAAAGTAAAGGAAAAGATAATTAATAAAAGATGACAAGGAAAAAAAAACAGCAGCTGGAATCCCTCCCAAAAAAAACAAAACAAAAAACAGCTTTTAAATGGAAGAAATAAGCAAAAAACCCATCAAATCCTGAATGGTAGATCTGCATAGAGATGAAGCATAAGTGGCATTTACTCCCAGAAAGAAAGGTTAAATGTGTTAATTTAATCACCAGTCCATGAGTTCTCACCGCTCCTTTACAATAAACATGTTTAGTATTTCCAATGCCAGCTGCTTTTTAGGGTGTAATGGCTTTTATCAAGTTGTGACACACATAACACTTGACACACTGTGCTAATAATGAGCCATCCAATAAAAAGGTCAACAGCTTTTATTCAATTTGCAAAGAAAGAAAGAAAAAGAAGTAAACACAAAACAATGCATGCAGTAAATAACTCAGTGGTTTGTGTGTATGTATGCCAGGGAGCATATCTTGTGTATAATAATTAGGCCTCCAGTGGAATTTGCCTTTGTTCTGCACTCCACTGTACTTATATGCTGCTTTTTAACAACAGCAGCTCCACAAAGGGCTGTACATTTTCCCTTACACACACTTACGCTCTCAGGAGGGAGTAATTAAACTTTTTCCCTAACGATTCCCAAGATGATTCAGGAAACAATTATTGTGCGATATTCTGTTTTTACAAGGATGCTCTTATTTTGTCTCGTATCATAAACTCAGGGCACTCCTTTTCTTTAGAGCATGTGTTGATCCAGATATATCACTGCTCAAAACAAACTAAGGGAACACTTGATCATCACAATACAACACAGAGTCAGTTACACTTCAGGGAAATCAGTCTGTCCAGTTAGCGTAACCCATAATGAATCAATTTCACCTACTTTGGTGCAAACAGAAGCGACTGCGGAGGCAACAACAGGACAATAGCCCAAAAAGGAATGGCTGTGCAGGTGGTGACTACAGACCATTGTCCTCTTCTCATCTTTCCTGATTGATTTTTCCTAGTGTCCTTGTTATTACAGGTGTGAGACGGTACCTGCAGCTCATTCAGGTTGCACAGATAGTGCAGCTCCGGGCAGTTTGCTGTGTCTCGCTGCACAGTCTCACTGTGCGAAGAGGAACAGAGGAAGCCCGAGAAGTTGACCTCCTGCAGTTGACTCCTGCATGTTTTCTGACCAAACTGTCACACTCAGACTCCGTGAGCACGGCATGAGAAACCAATTTCCTTAAGTGGGAACTGTGCCCCACGTCTTGCAGCTCAAACAGCACTTATGAGACAGCACAACTGGCGGATCCAACACCAATACCCTGCTCTTTTCATAGATGAGAGCAGCTTCACACTGTGCACATGTTTCACACACATGAAAGAGACTATATGGTAAGATCATCATTTGACACTGGGTCAGTGATGGTCCGGGGAGGCATCAATGGTCACACAGACTTCCACATTAGCCAACAGTTCCCCGACTGCTGTTAACGATGAAATCCTCAGAGCTTGTAGGCAGTTTCTGGAATATAAAGGGACTCAAGCTACTGAGCAGTCCTCACATTCCCTAGTCCTGAATCCCAATGAGAATCTCTGGAACATCATGTATCAATAAATCAATAAATAGTATAACAGAATGTCCAGGAGCTCACTGATACCCTAATCCAGGTCTGGGAGGAGATTATAATATAGAATTAAAACACAGCTCAGCAACAAAAAGCAGAGGACTTCAACCAATGAGACTGTGGTTTGTGATCCTCGTAAAACAAAAAGTAACCAGAGAATCAACATTTTTAGACACAGCAGACTTACTTTCATATGAAAAAAGAGAGAAAAAACAACACAGTTGGAGTTATAGTGGCCTTGCTGACAAAAAGCCATTCATTATCACATCATAGGAAATATCAACACAGTGATAGATTCTGCAGTCTTTGCCGCTCCCTCCCTGAAGCCCAAACTCACTCAATACACGTCTAATTCATCATTTCAACATCAACCTTTTTTTTCATAATCGACCTTTATCCTGTTTTCTGTGTGTAAAAGTTATTTGTAAAAAATATTTTTTATGAATAAAGATAAACTGAGAATCTAAATGAAAACAGTTTGCAGCAGTTTTGACTCCCATCTGTCAAACTGAGTTCTATCGTTTGCGCTCTCCGTCTCTGCCAAATATTTAAAGTTAAAACATAAAACTTTTCCATCTCCATCCCCACAGTGCAGAGAGGTAGCTGATGGGTGAGATCATTTGAACAGCAATCCCACACTTTGTTCCATAACTTTAAAGACAATCAGGGGTACGAGAACAAACAACTCCAAAAGCTCATCAAACATTAGGATAAAACCATGTAGTCACAAAACAACTGACTTTGAAGTGAAGATTAAACATGTCACGCTACTTATCCGACAGTAAAAACAATGCAATGTACTCCACCACAACTACATTCAGGCAATATGGCCACTTGCACTTTAGCAGCATTCTTAAATATGACTTAGAAATAACTCGTGATCTCTGTTTGTTCCACTCAGCTGTAAAATATGGATTTAGCGTCAGAACGCATCACTAATAAAACCTGCCTCGCATTTAAATAAATGCAGCATTTTAAAGCGATGTCTCGTTTGTACATTCAACAAACTGGTGGGTAAATATAACCACCTTTATATATCCATTATCCATAATCAATATTTAAAAGCAGCGATGATGGCATCTGGCTCATTACTAGGTGAAACATTAAACAGAGAAGTCATGCAGGGAGAGGGCCTTGGGCTTCGCGTTTGACGACTCAGACTCGAGTTAATCACCAGTTCAGAGAAGCCCTGTTAGCTGCACAGAGGGCAAAATCAAATATGTCAGTACTTACACAAATGATACTGTCAAAGGAGCTCATTAGTGCACTCAAATGTATTGATGAAAGAAATGAAATGCAACCTCTGGGTTTCTGGGGTCTATTGCCAAATTCATACCATCAAATCTGCTCTCAAGTTTTTAATCATTTAGAAAAACATTCTTCTTTGACAAATCTGTTTTTAGTCCTCGAATGACCACTGGCAAAAACCAAAAAGGGACCGTTAATCTTGAGAAGAAAAGCTACCTTAAAGATTCCAGACTCACCTCTGAACGCGAGACGGAGGAGCAAAGACTCCATGTTTTGGTGGGCAGGTGAAGTACCTCACTCCTCCCACTGACCCGTCATTTTTACCGCTCGGCTTGTCCAGTTCGATGCCCAACCAGAGTCCTGCACAGAGACCGGAAATCAACGCTGTCAAGAGTCATATTAATAAATGAGCAACACACCTTACAATAAAAACATAATTTTAGACTGGCGACACCAAATGACTTCTTAAAAAATGACTGAATGACCTTTTACCAGATATAAGCTTCTCTCTCTGGCTGCCCCTGAGGCTGCTTCTGCTGGAGTTGGTTACTCGGCTCCTGTTACAGACGCTTTCCTAAAAATCAAATGTTCTTGCTTCCTGTGGTTCAAATACAATTATTTACAGTAGCCAAGGTTTCTCCAAGAAGGATATTTGGTTTCCAAGTGTTTCTTTAATTTGCTTTTAGCATTATTTAACTCAACCCAACATCAGTCTACTGCCCAGTGGCATTCTTGGCTCAGCTGACGCCATAAAACAGGGAGCTTTACAGTAAGTCCTCCTGGTTTTGTGTGATTTTATCTTCACACAAATCCATCTTCCTGAGGATGTCTGACTTGTACAAATGTGATAAAATAAGATTTTGTTATTTCATTTTAATAGCTATAATGATAATAATATTTAACTGACAAAATCACTACACCTAGCTCACAGTACACCATTTGGGAACAATATATTGGAAAACTCTAAATAGGAGAGTTTGCCCTAAATTAGGACATTCGGCAGAGGCGATATTTCACTTCCATCTCAGGCAGCTCCTAAATAAATAACTTTTTAGCTCTTAAACATTCAATCACTGTCCTGTAAAATGATGCAACTCCTCAATGTGAGCCAGAAAGTTCAGTGTTTCTCCTTTCTCTTTACGAGGGCCTTAAGACACCTCGCAAGTGCCAGATGAAGGTATAGCCAGAATTCTAAAAATAAGTCAATCTGCTGTGAAGTATCCAGCAGCTGCTGTTGTTTTTAGTATGGAAGCACAGCGCTCAGTGCAGTGAGATAACAACGCATCGCTAACACTGATTTAAGAGTATCAAAGGAAACTTAAGACTGAAACCCCTTCAAACGTGATCCTCGGTGCTGTGAGATACATCACTATTTATTCATACATGACTAGTGCTGGGCCAGAACTACTACCTAAATATTAATGAATACTGTGAGCTGTTTTCTGTTTGGGTTTCAATGGCTTTTTGCTCAGCAACAGCTTCTTCAAATCTAATTTTTTTTTGTCCGCCAAGTATCTTCAGTTGCACTCAAGGATTCCCTCTGCAATAAGTTGGGAATGAGAATGCAGCTGAGTTCATCCAAGGTGAAAGACAAGAGCATAACAGAGCTTCAATTTATCTTCATCTTTGTCCATGTGAGTCATCTGCAGAGAATGAGTTCTCAAAAGATCCCCAAAAGTTCAGCAATTCAAGGCAAAACTGCTCCATCTTGATTGGGTTCATTTATTCATGTTATTTCACTGTGAAACCCCAAAACTCTGGTTTTAATTTTTGAACAGGTGGTCTTTTATCCATCATGTTAGGTTTACACTCAACTCTTGTCCTTTCTTTGGTTGCGTTTCAATGAGTTTATCCCAAACTACTCCCTAAAAATACCAGAATATCACTTCTATACAGGACAGGCACATTAAACAAAAGAAAACTGTGGTAACTTTAATTCTTTATGACTGCCCTGAAAACAGCAAAGTAAGGACAGGCATGGTTTATTAAAAGGATCATTAATATTTAAAGCTTTTAAGATTTCTTTGTTAAAGTTCTTTCCAAATTCAAGGTGTCATGTACCCAAAAAGTTTTTTCTACTTAATTCCATTATTTAATTCCAAGCACACGTTTTCCTCAGTATGCTATAATTCATTCATATACATAGATTCCAGTGTAGCAATGTTTACTGTTGTCGCCTGAAAGAAAAGAAAAGCTGCACAACATAAAGCACAATACCACTGCCACTGACTTAAGGTACTTTTTTAAGGAAATTCCACAATAATGAGACTTTTATCAACTGTCCTGTCTATATCCAATACACCCAAGTTATTGTAGTTTTGCATTTTCTAATTAGCTTTTATTTTCAATAAGGCATCCTTTGGAGTCACTGCAGTGATGTTTTGCATTTGACCCATGTCAAATAAAGCCAATTGTTTAAAAAAGACAAATAAAAAAAATAAAAAAAACCTTGACATTATATTTAAATCCAAAATCCAAAGCGAGCATCTCAACCTCTCCACCTAAACAGGCGGACTTGGCTTCTATAAAATGCGTCAGCTAATGCGTCGTGGCAGTGTCACCGCACAATATCTTGGACGCATCCTGGCCATGCCAGTCACCTTTGACACAGTGAAGGTATTTCGCACCACAGGAACATTGATTGAGAATATTGATCATTTCCACTGGAAAGTTCACACTAATTTACATCTTACAATTTGTGAATAAAGCTGATGAGATAATAAGCTGCGAAAGACATTTTTCTTAATAATATCAGAATGTGATTAATGTGCTTTGCAGCTGATGTGATAAATGCCAGCATCAAACGCTGAATAATAGCCTCATCATAACATCATCCACTGGTTAGTCCTGCTTTGAAGCCTCCATCCAGGGATGGGTTGGACTGAGAAACTAAGGACACTGTATGCTCAGCGACTTGTCACTTACAAATTAGCCACATTGTAAATCATGCTCTGCTTTATCATTTATTATGACGCTAACAGGTTTATAATTTAGAAGACGAACAATGAATGTTGTATTAAATGATATCTACCTTTAATAATTTTGCTGAACTGCGATCTCACAAAATACAAACTAAACCCATCTTTTATGTAGAGCACATGTGTTTGAGAAAATGTGTTCGACCTGGAGCAAAGTTGGTTTTTCCGTAGAACTGGACCACACCAGTTCTCTGACCGACTACCAGCACCCTCTCCCCGAGGCGCACCTCAGAGCCATCACACAGGGAGCTGCTACCTGAGGGGGTTCGGCTTCGAAAACCTGCGAGGAAGAGGAAAACCATTTGTTAGCTTTGATCATCATTTCTCTCAATTTCACGCGGCTGATTCTGCTTAATGATGGGAAATCATGAAATACAGTACTATGAGATTATTAGACCTGCAGTGGTGCCAGCAGAAGAGCGGAGGGCTGGTGAAGGTGTTATTCTGGGACTCGGGGAAACACGCTCCCTTCGTTGCCTGGCAGGAAGCCGTTGCCTGGGCAGCGGACGGGGTCGAGCGCCCGGTCCCTGTCGAGAGTCCAGGGAAGACGACGAAGAGGAGAGAGAGCGGGAGAGGACGCCTGTGGGTGCAATGCAGAAACAAGAAAATAAGAGAAGGAACCCCTCAAAAAAATCTAATGAACTGGCCAAAGCAAACTCAATAGCTCACATTAATAATTAATTCACACCAAGACAGCCATACTGCCACACACACGCTACTCATATATCAAAATGGCTTATCAACTGTTGCATCTAGGCTTAGCTGGGACATTAGCTGTCTACATTGTTATCCACTTTATCTAAAAATCACACGGCACCAAATGCCTGCTTCTCCTCTTAATAATGAATCCACCATCCCTCCATTTGGACCTATATCAGTAACTCTAATGCCACTGAGATAATGAAGCTCAGTCTATTATTCATTTTCCATTTTATTCTTCCAAGTGTGACAGTGCCTACAGCAGCAGGATCTTGGCAATTACCACTTTATTTTTTTTAATTTTTTTGCCTAAAAACTAAGCAGCTGCGTCACATCAATCTAAGGTAGCACACATCAAATGAGCTCAGTCTTCTGCAGTTGCATGTACCATTACCAAGCTCCAACTAAAGGGCAACATGCTAATCCCCGCCCAACACTGGGGAATGACATGGAAGACGAGGATGCCGGATTTCGCTCTTAAGAAGCTATTTGGACGCTGGACCTCATTAAGCTTTTAACTTTCACAGACCTTCACAGGCCATTAGTTCATTAAGTGCCCGACTCTTGGAAGCTAATTGATTAAATCAGTGCCAGAATGCTTTAAGAAGGGAAGATTCAGCTACAAAGTAATTGAAACCTGGAAAGAAATGTGAGAGAAACTTGTCAGCTTTTCCCAAAACTTGTTTTCAATTGTCAGCCTTGGGTAGTTTGTCTCAGCACTGATTTTAAAAAGAGAAAAAGAAAAGAAAAAGACAGTTGTTGTTTCTATCACTTCTGTGTGCATGCTTCATGCACAGAGAACACTGTATGGAGGAATTTATGCAGCACTTGCTTATGCATTATACACAATTGTTTATTAAAAGCATCGCTTTAATTCACATGGGGCAGTACTTTGTTTAAAGAGACACTGACACAGATGGATTAGGATGCTGGATTCAAGTATTAAGGTGTACAGACACAGATGAGGAAGCGGGATTTGAACAATTCCCCCAGCTTCTGCTAAAGCTCAAATACATCCCCACACTACATTCTCAGATAGGAAGTGCATTAAAGCCAGCTCAGCTATAACTCCAGTACCTGTCTTTACGATTGAGGTGTCGCCCTCTGTGTCTTGATGAGGACCAGATGCACTTTTTTGATTATCAGGTGTGTTTTTAACAGAAGGAGACAAACCTTTCAACCCACACACACACACAAAAGAGACACAAGAGCATTATTCATCAGATAGCAAGGTTGGTAAATAAAAGCCATATTGACAGCTGGAAATTGTAGTAAGATTGTCTAGTCAGACAGGTTAAATTGGCTGAACTAAGGAACCCATCAATCTGACTGAATAATCTGCACTGGTGTCACACTGTATCCGTTTAAGGACGTGCCTCAGCAACCTGATTGCCAAAAAAAGCACTTATACTGAAAACAACATAGGTGGAACTTTGTCAACAAAGTCGGAGCTCTTTGCATGTAAAGCAGCCCTCCAAATGGACAAATGTCGAGTCAATTTGTGCAAACCCTGTGCAAAACACACGGGGTTGTAGTCTCAAGATCGACCGGTTGATATGCTCTTATCCAACCAAATTCTCATTTTCGGCTGCCAGTGTTACTTCCATGTGGAGAAAAGTGGTGCATCAATAGCCCACATTACTTCTGGCAGCAGGGCGAATAATCTACCGTCGCAAAAGGGAGAAGAAAAAAAAAAAAAAGGCCGCAATGTTGAAACTGTGAACTTGCCAAAACTTGCTTAATTAGTGTTTAAATGAACTGAACTTGTACTCTGAGTCCGCTCCAAACAAACTGACACCAGCTGTCAATTAGTTTGCTGGTTGCTAGTGTGACTGCACTTTGTTCAAACAAATAACCAAAAAGTCAAGCGTGAACTTTTCCTCACCCACCCTCACCGATGGTAAATCAAGTGGTTGAAGAGTCGGTAAGATTTCAGTCGACCAAGATTTGGTTTTGTTGATTTGAGCCCTAGAAGGGCAGTTTATGAAGTCTAACAAATTACAGGAAATAAGGAGCATTTTAAATGAGGAGAATTTTAAATGAGGAGTCTATGAAGACACACAGTGCAGCACTGCGTTAAAGGCAGAGCCAAAAATGCTACACTGAAAAGATAAGGCACGCGGAGGGAAGTGAAGAAATGCAAATACGGGACAGCATGACATTGCAGAGTATAAATGATACATGAATACTGAAGCTGACTTTTCATTTACTGCAACACACAATCAAATTATTTGTTTTTAAAAACAAACAAAAAACAGACAAACATGCTGAGACAAGCACTTGTGTGCACACAAAGGCCTAAATGACAGTGAACACCAAAGAACTTCAAAAGGAATCTTAGACAGATTCAACACAGAAAAACAGCATTTCCTGCAGAAGTACGTGTAATTGTGTTTTAACAACCTTTTAGCAACAAACTGTCATTTTAAGCCTCTTATATCGTTTGCTGACTTTAAATATATCTGCTCTTTATTCAACACTTTGTTATTTTTATGGTGTGGTATCCGTCTGGGAAAATATCATCATAATGAATACACCGCTCTCCGTCCACATATCCATTTTCTATTGCTTATCAAGGCCTGTGTCACAGTGGCAGCCTAAGGAGAGATTTCCAGACCTCCCCATCCAGACCCTCAGCTCTGATAGGAATGTGTTTGTATTCCCCTAAGTCAGCTGAGAGACATGATCCCTCTAGTGTGTCCTTGTGTGTGTCCAGGGGTCTCTTTCCAGTTGGATACACCTGAAAAACCTCGTCTAGGGATTCCAGAAGGAATAAACATGCATGCAGGAGAGAAAAAAAGGCAACTAGACACTTTGGGCAGGGGAAACACACCCCAGCCCCAGCAGGGAGTCAGACCTGGAGGGTGTGCTTTTTGGTGACCGGCTGGTGGTCAGGCCTTCCCCCCTGAGCCCAGCCAAACCCAGCTCAAATGAGCCACTTGGGACGACCCCCCCTGTGGGCATAAGGAGCCATACAGTAGGGATCCAGTGTACTGTGGATGAGGGAGTAATCGAAGGCAGGGGCTTGACAGTCTAATTCCAGGCTTTTAAAACTAAAAACTGACTGTATGGATATTACCAACATGAGGGACTTTGTTTATAATAGACAATATCAACCAACATCTGTGCATAAACACATTTAATTTCTAATGAGGATTCAACAGGTACATAAAACTGTCTCATTTTTCTTTCTAGTCACCAACAGGACGCCCGTGTTTAAGTTTTACATTGCTCTTTGAAAAGTCATTAGAAAAATCTCAAATCAACCTGGTATTTATTGATTGCCATTTCAGTTAACATTTAGGGGGAGCTGGGAAATGCTCCCTTCAGAGACAGAGTTTGTGTCTTTCCTCTGAACTGCAGAGAAGAGCCTACATTCCAACTCAGAATACCAAACATTTCTTGTCACTTGACCTTTAGCTTGCAGGGACCTCCTGGTAGATAGAGCTATCTATCCCTTCCACATACACATAGTGGCATTCACTTCAAGTGGCAGACTGCAGCACAGACTGAGGCTTTATGAATTAAGCGGAGGTGGCTTTGTGCAGTTGTCTATGTTCTCACCACCCTTTGAGGCCTGAGTTACAGTTGACACAGTCCAAGAGGGGCCAGCCTGGCATTCTGCCGTGTCTGTCTCCCCAGGTTAGCGAGACAAGGCAGTTCCACAAAGACCCGTTCAATCTATAGATAAACACGAGCCAGCAGCCTGCACTGCAGATCCAATGGGACAGTAACACAGGTGGCTCGACAAAGCCCTGAAAACTAAGTGTGTGGTCATAAATTAGTCTAGTTCTCTGGGCTGTATGAAGCTGTAGACACACATGGCCTCACATGCCTTGCATGGTACACAAAACACTCACATGCACTTTGTGATGAATGGCTGCCAGCCTATCCAGCCTGTCTATGCCATAGTTATTAAATCCTGCTTAATTGGACTATCAATCACCGAATTCTAAAGGCCTCTCAGGTCTGCAATTCCAATCACGTCCAGTTCAAGTGGCCTTCAAAACCTCTGAGTATTACACCACCCACAACAATACAGCTATAAGCTGCGTGAGTATCAAAACCCAAAAACCACACCAAGACACAGCTTTTACAATGGCGTAGCGCATTTACTGCAAATGTCAACGGTAAGGAACCATCCGAAGACTGAGAGCACCAAGTTATGTCAGCAGTCAGCAATTTTTGCCTTATCCTTTGGCACTGGTTCCGAATCCATTTTTCAAGCTATTCAGATTAAGATTAATAAGATTACTATAAAAGCACAGATGCAATAAATCCATCCATGTAGTGGCATGGCTCATACCAGGTAGGAACGTTGAGAAGGACTATTTTTTAGCACAAAAGAGAGGCTGAAGTCATATCTGCAGCTGATGGCATCATCTGAACACTGTGGGGTGAGTTAGTTCTCCCACAGTAGGCTAAAAGGTGCTCACGTCAGTAGGGGCATCAATTTTGGATGTTGAATGAGTGTGTCACTACAAAATCTACAAAGCAGCAAGTAAATATTTGACTAAACAGAAGCAAAGCCAATAAATATATGGATTGCTTTTCTTTTTTGGCAAGAAAATATTAATGGAGGCAACTATGACAACTTGACAGTGCCTCTTTATTACTACTCTGCTCTGACTTTTCTTAAGTGATGAGAACTATAATGTTCAAATACTTTAACTGACTAATCAACCCATGAATACAACTAACATTAAAGCTCACCTGTTTTTTTCTCTTTACAGAAACGCCACTTCTTCGATTTTTGGATCATTTAAACCAAGGGCTCCATCTACGAACCAGCAATCATCTGGTCCCACAACAAAGGGGCACCATCATCTGAAACTACACTATAATAACCAAACTTCACTCTGAGCTGTTGGACTTGATTGCAGTTTTTTTTTTTTTTGACTACCCTCAGTCTTTCACCTTTATTGAATTCAATTTAGTTTTTGCCTTCAGTCTTTAATAGATCAAAATCTGCCAATAAATAAATGCTTAGTGTCAATGCAGCAGCAATATTATGCTGCTGCTGAATGTTATTACCTCTACGTTTTGAAAAATTAAATTCCCATTTGCAAATATATTTTACTTTTAAATGTTTATGATATTAGTCATATAACAGAGAAGGATTATAATCACCAAAATCACACATTGTGCATTTCATTTAGTGAAACAATGGAGTAGCAATGAAGTCAGTTTCAACTGTCCTAAACCCCCTAAAGTAAGAGGGCTCCGAAATGTCAGTGGCTTCAGTAATAATGTATTTGGAACTGTGTAAATGACTAATGCTGTCATTTGAAAATATTTGTTTTCTATGAAGTTAGCACTGTTCTGTTGATTTTTTTAATATGAAATAAAGTATCCAGGGGACTGTAGATTAGTACCTGTGGCATGAGGAAATGCCTGCCCTTGTAAAACCTTTTTCACCTGCTCTAATAAACGTTCACACACATCGCTGCCCCAGGGCTCACCCAGCTAGTCAGACTCCCCATCTTTGTAGTTTAGGTTTTGATCAATTTAAGCCTTTTTTATTAGAGTATTTTATGGCAGAAATCCTGAGGTAAGACTTAATTTCAAAAACAACGCTACCATCACTGTCTTTGTCGCAGTGTTTAAGGTCTGTCAGGACCTGAGCACAACTTCAGTCGTAGGAACAAAATCATATAACCATAGAACGACATACAAAGAAACCAAAGCTCGCTCAACAGACACGTCATTCAACTCCTGTGACTTCTATCTACAAATTAGAAGGTTGTATAAACAAGATCAAGCGCGCTGCAGACCCAACATTGATTATCTGAATTTAGCAGTAACACTTTATCGCTTGTTTCTCACCTGTGTTAATCTTGGAAGTAATCCGAGACAGGTCGATGCGACGAGGGGGGCGCACGGGTGTAGACTTCTTTGTAGTGCTGGTTTTATGTCTTTCCAAAGGTTTGCTTATCTTGGACAGTGGAGCAAAAATTCCTATAAAAGTAGAAAAGGCTCTAAGCATAACCAAGTAAGAATATCATCACTGACGAGACACAGAATGAGGATAATCTAAATACATAAAAGGGCAGCATGAAAGAGATTTTCTGTGCCAGGACACATTTTAAGTGCTGAAAACAGAATGAATTTACTGACATTTGGCCAAAAGGTCAAATCTTATTTCCTATGGTTAGATCAGACGCCACTGAAAAACTGACCAGACAATTTAAAAGGTCCAGGAAACGATTATGCTATTATGTGAACTGCAGTCAGTGTGTTGCTGCTCATGTCTGAATGCAGGAGAACACATAAAAAAGTCTTGTTTGATCATTCAAGTTTGCTTTGTACTATTACACTATTTAATATGGGCTCAAAACATAAAAGCTACACTTTTAGAGCCTAAACAGTTGCTAATCCAAGTTTCTAATCTAAATAAGGGAGCAGTTGTGTGTCATTGTTTTTGCTTTCAAGCACCGGGCGCGACCTACCATGTTTGTTTCGACAGTTGAAATACTGAACACCTGCTACCGAGCCATCGTTCTTTCCCTCTGGTTTGTCCAGTTCCACTCCGGCCCACAGGCCACCGGAGAACTCTGTGCTGCCGCAGAACCGCAGAGTTCCAACCTGTGTTAATAAATGTATGTACCACAGGAGGTCAAATAGAAAATATGGAAAACATCAATAAGAAACAAAACATTCACTAAAAGAACTGGAACCAGCTCTGAGCACTGGCTTAAAGATAAGATACGAGTTTTGATTAGCAAACCACACAACTTGGCACAAAGTATTTTCTGGTACGGCCTTAGAGAAAAGCATACAACACACACACTATAGTGGTAGGAGCCTTCAAAAAGAAGAACAGGGGCAATAGAAGGTGGCTAGTTGTGTACATCAGTGTGTACACATTAAGAATATCAGAAGAGGCGATTAATCAAATGCTTTTACTTCTGAGTGCTAAAACAGTAAGCTCCCACAGGTGATTAAGTATACAGCCAGATCCACTGCATTATCATAGACCGAAGAACCATAAATCTGGTGTTCACAGAGAAGCTGGTCATGACAGAAAATCAGCAGTAAACTGAAATGAAATTATGCATTTTGAAGCACATTGTAAAATCCCGGATGGTAGAGTTACTTACAGTTTGCAAATATGAGACATGAGTTTGAAGAGCTGGAGGTCGTTGTTCTAATGTTTCTCCACTACACAATAAACTACTGCCATCAATACCACTGGGCACTAAAGCCAGCCAACATCACTTATGTTAACGGTCTTCCCACACTCACCGACTTTAACTCATCAAATGGTAAATGTCAGAAACCTTAAAGCTTGGGTTTACTTGCATAGACAAATGCAAGAAATTCAGACGTCTTTGACTCAAGTGGCTGTTTGCAGGTTATTTTCACAAATTCACACTTCCATAAAAGTATTAGGACTTCAGTAACACCGACTCTTTCAGCATGATCTCTCCCGTGGCCTAATAAAATTGTACAATTTTAACTCATGAGCCCTTAGAGTGGAAAAGGTGCTCCCTAATCTAATAAGAGTCAATTTTTAAGATATCTTTCATAAAAGTGGAGTTATTTAAAGAATGACTACAAATCTTTTTGATGTAATGGGGCCTACATCATTTTTTTTTTTTTTTTTTTTAAAGTTCAACAGCACCACTTTAAATACCAAGTTTGTTTTTCAGTGAGTTTGAGGTCTGAGCACACTCATTACTCCCTCTTCAATGTGGAAGGGTTATGAGAAGGGGCCATAAAGGGTATCGTGTGCCTTACAGACTGGGCACATTTATTCAGTATAGGGGTATTTAAATAAAACTGACTTTACTTATGAAGTCTAAGATTATTTGTGCAAGGGCAAAGGTGTCACTGCAAAAATTTCATTACTGTTTAAATTTCATTACTTTCAATCATGTTGGATGTTAGGTGTCTGCAGAGAGGTAATACTGAAAGAGTAATAGGTAGCAAGAGGTAATTGAAGAGTTTTAACTTACAAATCGTGCAACTCACATCAGCTATAATGTCATGGCTTACACGGATGGTTTGTGAAACAGATCTCCTGAGATTTAGTGCAGTAAAAAGGATATTCCATTTAACAAAGCTCAATTTAATTCCTTCTATTAGATATATCACTGTTTGCCATTTTTCATTACTCCGGTCGTCTTCACGCGACACTCTTTCAGCATGAGGACAAAGAAACTTAGTAAATACTCTACTGTGTGAGAAATGGATGCAGTTCCAGAAGTACAGAGCAGACCCCATAACTGTCAAAAAAAATTGTCTTCGGGGAAGAAAAATGGAAAAGCTGTTAAGTATTAGTGATGTTGAATTACCTATGACTGCCATAAAGTAAGGTAATTTTGTGCCCATGGCACTGCACTCAGTGTCTTTCACCTGCTTTGTTAGGTCACATAAGGTGGACTGGGCCCATGCTGTCAGCCCGATGATTTCAAATTAAAACACAAAGCACAAAGAGAAAGATTTCTGGGGTCCTCATTTAATTTTAGAGCAGAGACACCATGTAGCAAATTGTCAGAGCTGAACAGTGCAATGAACTCAATTAGAAAAATGAATTGTATTTAACCTATGGGGCTAAATACCCTTCTTATAAAAGTGTGATTCATTTCAAAAGGATTGCACATGGCTTAAGGTCCCAGCATGGTCCTGCATTGGTAGTCTGTAGGTGCTGTGCACACGTATTCACATGCTGTCACTGGGAGACTGTACAATGTTAAAAGAAATGTGGATTTTTTTTTAGTACTTTGTTCTCGCGACCGAGCCAAAGTATGAAAACACGTACACACAAAAAAAGAAAAAACGACTTCTTTGTAGCAAATTGAAACTGCTGTAACTGTCCTTTTTAACCATCAGTGCTTTTTTCGGTCTTTGATGTTTCATATGTCTTTATTTCAGCATTACCTGGTCAAGCCAAGCCATCTTTTTAACCAATCAACATTCAACTATGCACAGCATCATCACTGTCAGGCTATGTGCTACTGGCTTTTTGGATGTTGAATTCCCATGGACTCTCCCTGTGAGGAGCCAAAGAGCTATGAGAACTGAAACCAACACAGTACCATGAATCCTATTTTACAAAACTGCAAGGTTACTAATTAGGCTAATGAGTAACACTGCAGAGCTAATGGCAACAATACAGAAATTCAGAGCTTTTTTGCCATTACTCTCTTGCCCTCCCCCTTAGGACCAAAATCTGTACATGCATCTTTGCCATACTGCCTTACTTAACTGGTTAAGAATTAATTGCATCCGTATATTTATTTTTACTTATTATACAGTGATGTTATGTGTCATACTGTTACAGCTTTGCCATTATTAATCACCTAAACTGGTGGTTTGTTGCATTTTTTCCCCTCTTCCTTTAGACATTACTTGTACAGTACTCTTCACCACATATTCTTTATATCATGAGGACGATGCTTTTTTTTTTCCTTTTCTTTTCTGCACTTTGACAATTTGTTGCCAATTAATGCCTTCCCACAATATATCTGTCATTCCTCACACCCACACTTCAACATCCATACTTTTCTATCTTAATGCAGTGTGCTGTATAGCTGCGTTATAGTTACACTGTATGTGTTAGAATTATGACCAAAAAAATAACTAAAGAGGACAGGGCATTTTTTAAATGCTAAGTATAATTACACTGTGACTAGTCAACAGATTTTGTATAAATGCTTTTAATTACAGCGCTGCTACGTTTACAGTTGAACTCATTAGACATTCTCACTTCTACAAAGAAACAGCCAGTGCGGCTCACACTGCCGCCTGTGAACTTGGACTGGGTAAGAGTCGGTGATTAGAAAAGAATGACTCACAGACAAAGAACATGAGCACATGCATTTGTAAAACTTCTAATACTGATACCAGGCACCGGAGATGAACATGCTCAGATGAATGTTGATGATGTGCCAGAGTGATCTGATGGCCATAACCGAGAGTGCTTGATGGATTCCCAAATGGTGTTGCTTAGCAACTGGAAATTATTTTGTCTTGGTTGAAAATGTAACCAAAGCTTCTGAACTTTGGCTACAATGGACTACGGCACCGGTGCATGGCACTAATGTGATGCAGGATCCATGCTATAAAGACCTGGACTGTTGGATTGATGGAGATGTTGCTTAGTAAATGCAATACAGATTCTATATGTGCATTTATTACTGGTACACAGATATTAATAACCTTGGCCTGGCCAATCTGTTCTATTCTCTGATTGGCATAGAAATCTCCAATAACCAATACCATTACTAACTGGGGTGGTGGTGGTAGTATTGTGTTAATGTGTATCCACTTAAGCAGCACCATCCAATTGGGTTCTGCTGACAGACGTTTATTTCAAAATGAGCGGCGATAGCACGCCAGTCAAGGCAATTTTTAAAAATCTAATTTCTCCAGTTGTGCTTTAAATTAATATGAGTATTATAATAAATTGAATCTGCCTCATTATAATTACATATTGCAAAACCACACGAGCAACACAGGTGTGCCTGGGTACGCACACAGGTTCACACCCCGACTTCTGTGCTGCTCTGAAATGAATGCGTGTGTAGAGAGTCTACAGCAACCCATCATAAAATAGCAGGATATTTCTGACTGCTGGACTGATTTTTTAAAGCTAAGGCTTAATGTAACTGTGCATTTGCAGAGACACTCAGGCTACGTTCACACTGCAGGTCTTAATGCTCAATTCCGATTTTTTGATCAAATCCGATTTTTTTGTCTGCTTGTTCACACTACAAATAAAATGTGACAGCAAACGCGCTCTAGTGTGAACCCTCAAAGCGGCCCGCATGCGCAAAAGAAGACGTCACACACGACGCGCTCTGTTTCTACCCAGACCAAACACTATTGTTTGACTGATGGCTGTTAATATAAAGACTTGTTTCTGACTTTACGTTTCCCAATTTTGTTATTTACAAATAGCCTAATAATTATCCGTATTGCTGTTTTAGAGGAGCGGCGCTTCAAAGGATAGTTGCAGATTTCTGTCAGAATCTGCAGATTATACAGTACAAATAAAATGTTCACGTTTCTCCAACATTGTCTTCCCAACATTTTCACTAACATCTACACGGGATGGGCAGGAAGCGTTCACGATGTCTTCTCGGGCGCTGATAATTGGCGTAGCCTCAGTTACGGTCTCCTTAACTCCTCTTTCTACCAGGTGTTTGACATGAAATACTGTGGGTGGGACTGACAGGTGGAGAGAGCAGGAGAGAAAAGTGAGAGATTTTACAGAGGAAGAAAAAAACTGGATCACATAGTTGAATCATATATTAAAGGTAAATAAGCAGAGACGCAGCAAGTATTTTGTCTCAATACGACGTCAGCTGTTCAGCATTCACCCACACACGGTACCTTATGAGGGCTGGATAAATGATGGAGCACTACGGAGCAAATCGCCCAACCTTACCATAATCCCTATAGCCATCACTAACTAAAACTAGATGTGGGGGAAAAGTAATAATACAAACTATAATTTTGGAGGAAAAATACAGAACTAACTGAAATGATATTGTAAACCCACAAAATTAAAAGGAAATAAAAACATAAAGCAAATATTCTTTTCAGTTTTAGTCTTTGTCAATATGATAAAATCTGTCAGCAAAACCTGCTCGATTAGGCTTTCGTGCACCCATTTCAGACTTGGAATGCCGCATATCACTTCCTTCAAAAAGCGCTGTATTAAATTCCTAAACTAACAAATACCCTACATATAATGATAAACAAAAAGGACTAACACTACCACTCAAATATTTAAAAAAAAAGAAGAAAAAAACCCAAAAACATTTTCTAACAATTTTCAAAAAACTAATTAATTTAAATTTAATTTAATTTAAAACATAAAAAAAACAACACAAAGATGATAAAAGTACTTTTAAAATATAAAACGATAATAACTCTGTTCGCCTCTAGCATGAAAAGAAAGACGGAAGCTTTATCAGCAGGAGAGCATTGATGAACAATTAGTGACTGTTAGTTCCTCAAAATTTACTCTTTTTCTTTTTTTAGGCCGAGAGTTTTACCAGCTCCTTCAGTCTATTTCCACATGAAATGGCTCACCTGTCTCTCCTCCACTCTTCAGGACGCTCTCCCCACACACAGTAAAACCAAGTGAAACAAAAAGGATGCAAAGAGGAAAGAAAACAAGCATCTCTCAAGCATACAGTTACATCAAACTCTCATTTAAAAATCAACATGACAAACACAAATACCATCCTTCTGCTTTGCCTGGTTTTAAGACGATGACATAACCCAACTCTAAACAAAATATCATTCAAAGTTTCTTCATACTACTCCATCCAGCACAGACTTTTCCAGTGGAACAGGAAACTCACTCGGTATACAGGATTCACGCACAACCATGCAGACGGTTTAATCTCTGCTTAAAGTGTCTCCAGAGGTCCCGTGTTTAGAACCATCAGGATAAAAAGTGTCTTGAGTGTCGTTGTGGTATGTGCAGAAAGCTTGGACTTCAATGTAACAGCAGGTGAAAAATCTATTGCAACATTAAGACGAAAACAGCACACGGCATCATCGATACTCCAGCGTTTCCAGTCTGTGGACCAGCGGGAGCTAATAATTTAATAGCAACACACACAAAAGGCTCCACTGGCACCGTATCGTTTTAAACAGCATCCCACTGTCAAGCCTTATCAAGGGCTTTAATTTCCATTGTACCAAGTGGACTTGCAAGTGGCCTCCAAATTGTTTCCTGGTGGTATTCATTTTCAGGCAAACTTAGATGGATACAACCAAATCTAGCTAGCTATTACTTCTGCTACAACTTCGCTTCAGTTTGTGAAAGCATATGAAATACTGGCAAGATGTGATCTGCAAATTTACAAAGTGATAAAGGGAAAAAAATTACAGTAAGTGTTAAAGAGACGCTTGATTTCAGTAGAAAAAAGGCTGACTGAAGCCCCTAAACCAAAGTTAGTATCATATTCCAGCACAAAACTGAAAAAGCAAAGACAGAGCCCTGCATTAGTGAGCTTTGTTTAAATATACTGACTCGCTGCTGCTAAGAGACAGCTCATTTTAGACTTTCTCCCTATAAATGGAGAAGTGTGGACTTATTTGAATTCAGCTAATCACTGAGTCATAATTAGAGGGCTGTGAAACTTCCCTCTATTGTACCATTCTGAGATATGAAAAAGCTTTAAGTAAGACTGAAAGTACTGCTGTATAAAAGTGAAGATCACTGCTCAGAGCCACAACTCACCTTCTGTGCAGCTATAATCACACGGTCACCTAGACGGATTCCCATGGAGGCGAGCTGTAGCCTGGCCTTATCAGAGAGAGCAGGGAGGGACTGGGCTTTCAGGGTGAGGGGCAGAGGGGAGCTGGGTCTGGGTAACGCTTGTCTCAGCAAAGTCCGGAGCTCTTTGGCCATGGCTGCTGCATCAGCCATGTCCAGAGCCATGTCGAGGGGATCAGGCACCACGTCTGCTGGACACTGGCCTTTTTCATTCTTTAACCGGACACAAGGAGAAAAAACAAAACAAAAAAACAACACAGATAAGAGGAATGTTTTACCAATCAGGTAAGAGAATGTTTTAAGCACAGATTTTGAAAAAGGACAGTCATTTAAATCATTACATCTGCAACTAAGCAGAGCACTAAAGACACCTGCATTGCAGAGGTCATCCAAACGATTGGTTTTAAATTAAAAAAGGGAAGAAAAAAAAAAGAAGAAGAAGAAGAAGGGGGTGTTAATCCGGACCACCCTCGGCTCCACTAACTGAACACACAGCAGAACACTTTCTCTGACATCTGTTTCAGCTCCACTGGCACAAGGACAGATACAGAAAACCCTTACCACCTCACAGCACATTCTCTTTTTATATATGAGACATTTATTCACTGAGCTGTTATTTTATGTCCTTTTTTTCTACTTTCTATTTAAATGAGCCAAGGTAAAATCAGTCTTACTTGATTGTTTTGTTTTTTTCATACTGTACTTTTTTGTTGCTACAGACTCTTTCATTTTTTTAAGTAAAAATACACTGCATCTTAACTAAATATGGCAAACATAATAATTACAGCAACAATGACATCTACAGCAACACTGCAGCAAAATTCATCAAGGCAACACCTGCAAACCTCTTAGCTCAACATCACACACCTGCAACTAAACCAAACACTGCAACTGCAATAACTAAACCACCAATTACATCTGCCCCAGAAATGGACCCTCAGTTAATATCACTGAGGAAATAAAAGAGCCAGTTTCTTTAACGCATGAGTGTGAAAGCTTCTATCCCAAATGAAAAGTGTAAACTTACTAATGCGTTATGAATCCATTAAGTGCAAACAGTGTGACCCAGACAGTCTCATTAATGCTGGGAGATGTGTGCAATAAACCGATCCCACTTACCAGAACACTGATATGATATTAGAAACTGCCCAACTGCAAGCACAAGACTGGACGTCATGTTGGTAGGAGCACTGAAGCGCTGAACCTTCTGACAAAACACAGAATTCTTGCAGTCCACTTGAGCAGAAAATAATTGGTTGAACTTGAACTGGTGCTTTTTTATTTCAACAATATCAGTTGGGCCAAGAGTACCTGAGAATGAGGATGTATTGCATGCTGAAGTACGGCTCAGTAAAGAAAGAATTTAGCCAGTCGTTTTTATAGCAGTGAATGAGAACCAACAGCGCTCGACCTACAAACTGAGGCTTATATCTGGAACTCTAATCCCTGCGGGTTAGATGTTTACATTTGGAGGAGGCAAGAGGAGGCAAGAGGAGGCAAGAGGAGGTTTGTGCGTTGAAAAGTAAAAACTGTGAAATAAAGCAGAAAAAAAAAATACCACTAGCTGAGAACAACAGTGAGACAGCTTGCCAGCTCTTGCAATATCGATCAATACTAATTAAATCAAATGCAGCATAAGCATCACTGATGACAGACTGCTTTCAAAAGACAAACTATTTAAAACTTTTTTTTTTTTATGTCCATCTCCAAAATGGTCACCATCATTTCTGTATGCTGCACCTAATCGCATCATATTCATGTTGTCAGGGCAAGAGGCGCACAACATGAGCATTTAGTCACGTAAAGAAACTACAGTCAGGGAGAGCTTAGAGAGACTAAGCAAGCTTAAGTGTCAGCGGAGGTAGGAGGATACGGCTGTGGAGGCGTGACAGACGAGAGGAGCTCATCCAGCACTACGGCGCAGGATTAATTGGGGCACACTTGCATTTGCCAGCCCCTCCAGCAACAATACAAGTGGTCTTTGATAAATATCAAAACCCAGCTTGCCTTTTATTGCTGAGGCCTGTCGCTCTCATGTTGTAACACTGAGCTAAAGTACCAAACAATCAATCTGTCTTCATGTGCCTAGAGTGAAGGCAGCATGCCACAGGACTAGCTCCAGGAAAGAAATGCTTAGCTCAGTGGCGATATCTATATTTAAAGGAGTGCATTTAAAGCATGCAATCTCTCTCTTTTTTCTTTTTTTTTTAAAACAGCTGGGCAACCCTAATCAACTCCCCATGTATACTTTAGATTGATGGGGTAATAAACAGAACAATAATCACCTCTAGACAAGTCCAGTGTATTTCACTTAAGTACCATAATGTAATACCACGCCAAGCTCCCACGGTGAACCATTTTTTAAGCACTGTCACACACTCACCCACTGACATGTGACAAATGCCTTTCATAACTACACAACAGCCATACTTCATTTGTTACGGTTAAATTATGAGAGCTTTGAAAGATGCTTTTAATGCTTATGCACAACAGGCAGAATACCTGAAACATATTTGACACTCTCGCAAATGATTTGTGAATCATTGCATTTAAGTGACTTTTTTCTTTGTTGCAATCCTGGGATAGGAAAATGAAGCCAACATGAAAGTGCTAATAACTGCAATTCCACCGCTGTTGCAGGAATCAGCATAGCGTTCTCCATATCTTTTCCACACTTTGACCCTGTGATTCAACTGCCGTATGTTCAGGTTCCAGTGTGCAAGTTGCCGACACCAGCGCACTTAGGCCTGACCTCCCAGCAGCCCCATGAGGCCGCAGTGTGACCGAGTGAGGAAACGAATCCTTGTGGCGTCATCTTCTTGGGATGTAAACATTGTAGCCCGTCTCTAACATCCCCATTTTATGGAACTGTTGAACAGGCTGTTCAACAGTATGAGATTTATTGCCAAGAAGCATCTTTACAACAAAGAAATAATCGACTAAACACAAATTTCTTTAATTTTTGTGCAAAGTTTATCCTGGAACCAACACAAAAACAAGATTTACTGAGAAAGTAAAATAAAGCTGAGTAAGTAAACACCTTTGTTATTGTTAACAGCTGAACTTCCCATGAGCTGTATGCTGAAATTCAGAATGTGCAGGGAAACATGTCAATCCACCCACCCAAAACCCTCCACATACCAAACAGATCTGCAACAGCAGCTCACATTTAATCTGAAACTGAAAGAGAAATAAGTGAGCAGTTCACCACAGAAACCTTGTTTTTTTACTAATGCAAGAAATGATGAGTTGCCACAGCTCTCAATCCATAAGGTATGTAGCAAGGGAAGCACGAAAGGCCAGCAACATTTTTATTTTTCCATCCTTTTTAAAAAATCTTTCCATTGCTCCAATACTCAGTTTGTTGTGATTAATCTCTGCAGTGCCAGTGAAGAGAAATATCAAATTAAACCACTTCCATGCCTGACCTTTACTCAGAAAGAAACTGAATTTCTTGGCTCTGATATCACGAACACACTGCCAGCCAACACCATCATTTTTCAAATGCGAATTTCACAATTTGTCAAACACATGAAAAGTCAATGCAGGGAAAAAAAGAATAGTACTGAAGGATGTGGCTGATTGTGATGAATTACTCATTATTACAACTTTTCATTTTAAAGGGAGTAATAAATTAATGTTACCTTCTCTGTGTGTTTTTTCCAGGTTGTGCTTTAATTTTGAGTAATGATAACATGACGACATTACAGCGAATGCACCGCCTTACAGATGATCAAAGTTGCATAAATCAAAAATGGGGGGGGAAAAAATACATGACTAATAAACTGATGCTTATTTTTGAATCTCTCCATTTCAAATTCTTATTTATTTCTCCATTATATTTTTGATTTCTTTATTTTAAAATAAGTCAGTGGTCTCTGTATACCTGTTGTGAGCTTGGTCTACATTGCCAGCAAAAAGCTGGATCCCCTCCCAGTAGGTACTGGACTCCACCAGGGCTGCCCTTTGTCACTGATCCTGTTTATAATTTTTTAGGACAGATTTCTAGATGCAGCTGAGGACGAGAGGGTATCAGATTTGGTGGTCTCGAGATCTCGTTTCTGCTTTCTGTGGATGGTGTGTTCTTGTTGGCTTCATCGAGCAATAACCTCACGCTCTCACTGAGGTGGTTTAAAGCAGAGTGTGAAGTGGCGGGGATGAGAACTGGCAGCTCGCAATCTGAGGCCATGTTTCTCAGTCACACAGGGTGGAATGCCCATTCCAGGACTACCCTAGTTTGGAGTAGGATGCCTCCTGGACGGCTCCTAGGTGAAGTGTTCCAGGCATCTCTCACCAGAAGGATGCCCCGGGCGAGACCCAGGAGATGCTGGAGACATTACGTCTCTCAGTTGGATAGGGAATCCTTAGGTGAACCCCACAAGGAACTGGTGAGAGGTAGTTCTGAGCATTTCTGCTTGGATTGCTACCCCTGTGACTGGAACCACACTGCTAGTAAATTGAGCTGTTCTAGCTAAAGAACTAATAATAATAAAAAACCCAACAAAATAAATGAAAAACAAACTATTAATAGAATCTATTTATCTCATTTCAATCCTCCGTAATAAAAGGACTGTCATCGTCAGGGTCACGGCAAACACACGGGTCCTTTCAAATAGTGATAAAGATTACAAGAAGAAAAAAATATTGCAATATCGGAGCTTATAAAAGCCGATGCAGCATATCTCTAGAGCCAACTGCCAGCAGCAGTGATGAACCTTAAATAATAAAGCAGACAGAAAATAATCTTCCCTCTGTGGCGTTTTAACTTTTGCTTGGCAAGATAACGACTAAACAGAAACCAAGAAAGCCTCTTGGGTTTCAAAAAGCCAGCCTTGTAATTTCTAACCACATAGTCCATATATCTTGCAAGCATTGCATTCACTCAGTAAGATATAGAGCCTCTGCTCTCATATTTGAGAATGGAAATTACTGAATTATGGTGTGCAGTGCTTTGGTGACCTCCAGTGGGAAAATTAGTGCTTACAAAGACCAGGAACTAGACCTGTTTAGAAACAGCTTCAATACTTCTGCAGCCAAAATGTGCAATATTAAAGATAATCACACTGCAAGTTCCAATACAGATATAACATTCTGAATAAAACCCATAAGCTATGACAGCCCATATATTCATGCCAAAAACATTATCTACTGGGACCCTGCTGTGTATATACTTTCGCTCAAGATAACAGCTGATCAGGGCTGTTCAGCAAAGC